TTTTTTCTATTCTATAGGAGGACAGCAAATTGGTGGAAAACATTGAAAGAGAAGTGTATCATCGAAACAAGAGAATATTGAACAACAATTACAGACGTACTATGAGAACTTTAATATTTGCCGTAAAACATAAAAACGATATAAGGACAAAGGTTCAAAATGGCCACCTCAGCATTCAAGAATTCATTGACATGCATAAAAGATGAAGAAACACACTAAGTGCACCAATGCGAGTACCGTGCGACAAACTAAGCTGAATTTTGAACTTTTCTCCTGGTAACAAGAATGTGAAGTTTGAGTTGAATTAACGAGTTTTCTACTTTTTCAATCCAGAGTCGTTGAAGACAAATTACAAGATTTTACCAAATAATAGAACAGATGCAACTCAAATATGGATGTGTGTAAATGATGAATACTAAAATGAGTTACAAATGCTGAGGAAATTTCGTTTATTTTTTGATGTTTTTTCAATTAAATAAGATATCATTGGAGCGTATAAATGATAAAAGTCGGTTTATTTCGCAGTAACCCAGCTTTTTCCATTTATACCTTCCCATATTTTATTGAAAAAAACACTGAAAAATAAACAAGAGACTGTATGCAAGTCTACTCATTTTTGTCTTCATGAATTATTATTAATCCCATTTCATAACACTATTATGTAAATTTTACAATTACATGTGGTATACAAGATACTGCATCTGTCATTACAAGTTATAATAAGCATTGTTTTATTAAGAACTACAAGTACTGTGTATGTTAAATATTGTATTGACGACAACAGTTGTTTTTATTCCTAGACATGTGTGTGTTCAAACAACACTAATTTTGATATTTTATTAATAAAAATAAGTATTTTATATTTTTAAATGGATCCCTGTATACTGGTGTTCTGAGCTTTGTCATGTGCACCTGGAGACCATTACATGATTTGAATAAGATAGGTCAAACCAAGTTACAGGAGACGTCAAACATATTAATATATAAAAAGAAGATAATGATGCACTTGCATTTCAATCTATTTCTTTCAATCGTTTTAATTACCGGTACTATATAATAAATGTTATATAAAATAATGCAAGTGCTGACAGTCTGAAATGTCAGTACAGTCGCTAGAGTGTCATAAATGCACACATTTATTCAAATTGACACCCTGGTGGAAATGGTTTAACTAGTTCTGATCATGTAACGATCTTGAGCCGTACATGGCAAACCAGTCAGCAACTTAGCTGGCAATGTTGCTGTTTTGGAACAATATGGTGTAATTCACTAGTTTGATATTTTATCATTCAGTGGGTTTTAAATTCACAAATTTTTCATTGAATTAGTTTTTCATGTTCACATTTAATTCAATGGATTTCACTTTTCAGCAAAATTAAAAACTCTGAATACCAATGCACTGTTCAAGTTGCGCCTTTAATAGAATGCTTTTGTGACCCAAATGGGCAAAAGGCAGGGTATCTATCGGTACATTTTTTTGATCTGCCTAGTCAATGTTTGACAAAAATTACATTTACTATATGCTGTATCACTAAAATAAGACTTGTGTTAATCCTAGGCACACTGTCATTTACCCAAGTGCCTGCTACCAACAGAGTAAATATAGTTTTGTCACTAGAGGGCGCTATGGGAGAAAGGTGCACCACGCTTGCAGTTTATACCTAACCATGTATATTGAATGTTTTATTACGGTATCATTAGGCCAGACTTTTTATTCCTTGTTACTCGAGTTTTTATAAGACAATTTTTTTGAGGAGGGCGAAAATAAAAATAAAATCAATTCTTTTTTCTCCATTAGATTTGTGCGATTCTCAATGAATTGTAAGTGAGATCATTGATCGGAGAAAGGAAATGAAATTCCATGTATAACCATGTTTCTCATCTGCGCAAGACTTCGGTACTTTGATCATGATACTCCCACGAAAATGCAACTTTGGTTTGTTATGCGGCGGGCAGAAATAAAATTAAGATAAAAATAAGTTCTTTTTAGCAATTTTTTGCACTTGCAAGTCGGCGGGTGCGACAAATTATTATTTTTATTTCATTTTCGGCTCCTGTTCGTTCGGCGGGTTCGCGAAACAAGGGATAATAAAAGTCTGGCCTTATCCAAGAAACTAAATTATAAAATGCACAAGATAGAGATGTGCATGCTGAAACAAAGACAAGAAGAAGATATTAATATGGTATGTTTTTTATTCATTTGCAATTGAATTAAAATTCTGAATATCTTGTGTTCTCTTTGTAACCCTGTCATAAAAACAAATATTACACATCAAAATTTATCTCGTAAAAATGATCAGTCAAGACACACAAATAAGACAGTCTCTAGGATTGACACATTTCTCTCTAAGTCGGAAGCTTAGAAGGAACCCAAGTACTAGTATGTTGAGGGTATTGAAGGCAAAAATTTAACAAAATGGTGTCATCAAGGTTCCATTATGGTCCATGTTTGAATGAAATTTTACTATGCACAACTAAGATCTTGATCGGTAATTTTCATGTTGTATTAGCTGGCCATCTTGAATTTGATGGTGAAACAGACGGATATGTAAATAAGTGACATGATGTATGAAGTGTTTGTGAAGTTTGAATGCAATCGGTTCAAGCATGTCAGAGATACAGATGTGGAGGCACACATGAAGAGATAAAACTATAAACCCAGTTTTCGAACTAAATGCAAAGGTATGGATTATCAAAGAGCATGTCTGAAATAAGTTTAATTCAATTAGTCCATTATCCTACAAGTGTGATATCATGCGAATAAAAAAAGATGACAACATTCACAGGATTGCCACTTTCCCGATAGTATCTGTAATAATCTTTTTTTAAAAAATAATAAAATCTGACAGGCAAAGTTAAAAAATCATCAACAGTGTAAAAGTTCTTTTATTGAGCAATTCTCACGTCCATTGTGAACTGACAATTTGTTTAACCATCACTTCAGTTTGTTTCTTAGACATGTATTCGGCACAACACACAGCATTAGATATTGCAATCGTATGTGATAACGTCTTTGCTTTTATCCATATTCTTCCATTTAATCCGACAGCAGTCTCGTACGGCATGTGCTTGCCAAGTAGCTTCATCAACTGACAGTCCGGAGATACAATTCTGTTAACAAAATCAGAATATATTTAAGCATTTTTCAAACAAGCATATGTCGCAAGTTGAAGGGCACACTTTAAAGTCCAATGACCTCTTTCGTCACTTTGCAAAAACATGCAAAATAGTGACGTAAATACTGGTAGACCTTTCAGATGTAAATTTTGTTGAGAGTGAGAGAGTCACATGACTTGTTTTAGCATTGTACTCCCTCCCGTTATTACGTCTGACCTGTGTAACCATGGTATTGGACACAATGGACGAGATGATAGAAGAAAAAGGAAGAATAATTGGGGATTTTCTGTTCAACTGCAAGATCTTGCAAATTGCATGAAAGATACATGCCAAACGTCTGCAGGAAAAATTGAACAATTTGATTTTGTATCGAATTTCTTTATTTTGTAGCTCACATCAAAAGGCCAATCTTCGACAGGGGAATATTGCGTTTGAATACCCTTACTTGAAATTTACCATCATCAAATGTATACAGCACATTATTAAGCATGGAAGTGTCCCCCAAAATACTTTTGCGTTTGTCCAATCCCACGCGATGTTTGACGCCACTACGACGCCATGACCTTTGTTTGTCCTATTTTTTCGTTCGATTTCACGCATAGCGCAGAATCTCGCAGTGAAAGAAAAATGGTCTATTGAAAGATACTGGTTAAAACTCATAGCTTTCTCATCCTCAACAAGATCTTGGCAGCAATTTTGTCTATTAGCAACTTACTTTCTGACAAGTCCCAGTGAACATTTAAACATGAAACCTCCTGATATTACACCGAGTCCACTACTTCTACCAGTACTATCAATACACACTATCTCAGGTTCCATGTCTTTATTAGCTACCAATAATTTACCATATATCAAATCACCAATCTGAAAATCAATATGATTTCATTAAAACTGGACAGTAATTATATGGCTGGTACAGCAGTGAACATCCGTAAATAAATTGTCATATGTAAATATGTTGTATGATTTATTAAAGGCAGTAATTAATATATTCTAAATATATTCTATGACTCAAAATAATAACAATGGTAATGTCAACACCACAAATATTCAGTGAGTGAAAAAATCAACTAAAGTAATCATTAGAGATCCTTTGTATGTGACATCACAAGTGATCCACCTCGTGATATTCTACAAGTTAGAAATGTAGGAAACCTTACACTATTAGTTTGGCTGTTCAGTAAGTCCATTCTGTAAGTCTTATAGACTGGCCAGCCATGACAATTTTATATGATAATTGCTTTCAAAACTGAATTTTTAAAATCTCTGATGTTGACATCTGTTTTCTCGTGCCCTCTATAGCTGTCACTACGTTTTCGGGGTGGTAAATATGCTAATGAGTAGCGTGAATTGTAAGCTGATCAACACAACTAAAACAAACACCTACTTTCCTCTTTTAGAAGTGTTCTACTCCCAGGTTTCAATACATCATGAATAATTAATAGCAATAATTATGGCTCAGAATAGACCAGTCATGGTAAAGAATAAAAAAATTGTCAGGGCTAAGCCAGTCGTACCTGTACATTAGATGGGATGTTCATTAAATACATTTCATGAGTCTTACCTGTACATTCGGTCGGTTACGCTTAGTTGCTCCTTCAAACGCAAGATATGACAAAGTGGCCATTTCACTACTGCCGATATCAACTTTGAATACATCACCGGCTTTGGATATCACAATTCCCAGAATATTCTCCCCTTTAACTGGAACATACTGTAAAAAACAATTTACATTTTCACACAAATATTACACATTACTTTTACCAGGGAAAATCTGGAATATGACTGCTTAATTTTTGACAAGAGTTCTTTTTGTACCCCCATCCCCATCCCTAACCCTAACACTCACTCCTAGTTACCCAATTCATTTGTATATGCCCCCTCTAGATATAGATGTCCTTAGGAGGGGAATGTACAATTAAATGGGGAGTGCTGGAGAGTTGGGGGTAGGGTTAGGGATGGGGGTACAAAAAGAACTCTTTCCTAATTGTTATCACTATCATGATTTTATAATTTAATAGTATATGTCACATAATGTGTGGACAAGATTTTGTGGAGTTCATCGCGTGAGTTTGCTCATACAGAGGGCAAGTGGTGCTTTTACCCCCTAGAACCCCTGTGAATATCAGTGACTCCCTAGAACCCAAGAGAGTCACTGTAATTTCCTAAGACCCCAGTGAATGACACCGTGACTCAAAACACCGCAGATGGACATAGTCGTAGTTTTGTAGGGAAACACTTTGATGATCAAAATATTACGTGGACCTAGAAGCCCTGATTCCAACTGTATGAAATGTACTCGCTACCAGTTTTCACCATTCTACAACACAGTTGGATCTGGCGTAACCATCCGTGTAAAATATGGTCCTGGAACCGCGAACCAGCGCTAAATTTCCAGCTGCATGAGCACTCACATGAAGCACTTACCCGTTTCTGGTGTGTGTCTACCCAGAACACACTCGGTTCTCTAAACCTCAGAATGCCGCATTTGCATACAACCACATTATCTACATCTATCCTAAGACCTGGACCCAGTCTAAGTTTGGGATATTGCTCGGAATCACTTAATTCTTGTAAAATATCACCTGGAAGAACAACTTCATTCACATGTGCCGCCATGATGGAAAAACTGACTCCCTAAACTGCTCGTTATTTTTCAACAAGGCTATATTTTTCACGAAGCTGGGTACTCATGCAATTTATGTTCAGTGCCAGTACGTATTTAGAAAATACGAGTTTTCCTGTTTAGGTTTACCTTCATGCACTGGAGCATGAGATGACCCGAAAGATGAATTCTTGTTTTCTTTTACCGGGCAAGTAACTGTATTTAATTATTGCGTGTTATGTGATCTGTGCCAACTTTCCTTTACGTAAAATACCTAATAGTACTACAATGCTATAAATCATCATCTTAACACATCCTTACTTGCACCAATCGAAAAAAACGGGTCATTCTTGAAGAACTAGTTTATAAAAAAAACAATTTTGCGCAAAATTTCTTCACACCTCTATCATATTGCCGGATAATACTTGGGTTCTGTCGTGAAATTGCTTGCCACATACCTCAGGCTGTTAATGTACTGCGCCACCTACCGACACCAATGAACGCAATACGTCCAACCCACGGACATCCTTTCAAGGTAGTATTTTCAAATATTATTTAATTAATAGATGTCTGAAAACAAGCATTACCATTGTTTATTTAGGAGTATAAACATTTTAAGTTCTTATGGGAAAATTGAGTTGAATTTATACCAAATTGCATACATTGCTTTTGTTTTTATTTGTTGTATTGTGCCATTTTTTTCTATATACTGTATAGACTATACTAACTTGGTACATAATTGCCATCAGGAATTACCTGGTAATTTTTTCTAAAAAAATGCCGTGACGAAACATACCAACTAATACAGATTATAGTAATAAAAACATCACTACTGAAAAACAGCAAAGTTGAGGGGTAGAAAAAATATATTAGAAAAGTAGTGGATGCTAGTGAGGTCATGGGGAGATAAGATAAAAGGCCTAGTAAACCTCAGGGATACACCATCAAACTGACAACGCATTCACAAATATTTCATAAACATCGGTGTCATAGCGTGCGAGAAAACATGTCTAACTTTTAAAAATCGATTTGCCCTTCAAAAATGTGTACATTCTGTAAAGGGGAAGTGGAAACAATTATGCACCTTATAATACACTGTTCCCTTGTTCAGTTGTTTTGGGAGAAATTTCTGAGCGATTGGGAAAACATATTGGGTTGAGAAATACTTTATCTGATGAAACAATTTTGTTGGGAGATCCACATATATTCTAATATATTCAACTGTCAGCGGAAGCATGATGGTTAGTGTGGGTTTTCGATACGTACTAACTCGCTTGGAGAATAGAATAGAATAGAATAGAATAGAATAGAATAGAATAGAATAGAATAGAATAGATAGATTGAACTTTTTGTCTTTTGTGTGCATAGTCTACTAGTATCTTCCATTGGTGTTTTGGTCTCGTATAGCGGCTTGTTTCTATTGCTAATCTGTGATTACTTGTTCTAAAATTGGCTAATTATCTGATGATATCGACTACTAGTATTTTCAGTGTAATATACTTCTTAGTATTGTACAATGTTAAGATTGTCTTTGTATGTATGATAATACTGTAACTTTTCATTGTCTCTCATATTGTCGTTCTTCCGTAATGTACTGTAGCAATCTTTTATATTAGTGTTTTTACAAGGATATTTTAAGATTTTGTTCTAGCTTTGACAAGCAGGCCCCCGTATTTTTATTTTCTTTCATAACCTGTAGTGCATAGTATGCCAGATTGTATTTTCTATTGTTTGTATGTTGGTAGTATTTAATTGCTGCACTGTATTTAAATAATAACACATGTTTGTAAGGGTAATATCACGATTTGTTGTCTGCCGTGGGGTTGGTGGTCATGACTATATTATTGATGATGCCAGAGCCGAAGGCAGCCCAGTACTTGTTGTTGACAGTATAGCAATGTCATCAGCGTATTGAATACAGTTGATTTTTTCCCACTAAGTTCGGGTGCTGACATTTGTAGCTCATTTAGATCATTTGTGAAGTCATTCATGTAGATGTTGAATAAAGTTGGGCTTAGAGGGCAGCCTTGTTTCACTCCATTGTGTAATTTGAAGTGTGGTGAGGTGACATCGTTTAACTTTACTATAAAATCCATGTTGGTGTACATTGATTTTATAATATTTTATAATCTTTTCTTTTGTGCTTCAAATATAATCATTCTGACTGAAATATTATGATATAATGTCAGCACGGCCACATCATAAATCACAGACGTCAGTTATGTGACTAGTGTTTAATTCTGTGTCAAACAATCCCGTTAACGCGTACGCACACGTACGCGTGGAATACACGATGCGACATGGTTAATCTGCGAAATAGTGCGCGTGTACGTTCTCGTAAGCTTTAAGTGCTGGGAAAGATTAACTTTTGAATTCTCAGACGGCAGCTGGTTGTTGGGTGACCACACTTCCGTTAAATGATGTCCACCTGCCAATGTATTTGATCCATTTTAGTATGTATCATGTAATATTTGTAGACTTTTAACTGTTTTCATGTCGGGTCAGTTCTGGTTGGTTTCACAGAGCACACGCTTAGCGGTGTAAACGCACTATATCACGTACATTCTCAATCACCGAATGCTAATGAGCATGCGCATTCCCGTAAGCGTTTTATTTATTATAGTTGATGTCAACAAAAATAAATGTGTTCTTTGAAGTTGTCGGTTAGCAGCTACCCCCGTAAACGATTGGTTGACTCCACTGATCGTAGACAATGATAGGACGACTTCATGTTACGGCACGGCCCCTGTCACCAATGTGGTAGAATATTGACCTCGTTGACCCACAATACGGCTTTTATCCATACACCTTAGATACCATCGATCCCTAAAGCGTTCGTAATAAGCCGTGTGTATTAGGTGGAACGTTCGAGTGAAGATCTCTGAGTTCCGAGTCCATCTCTGCGTAAATTAACAGATCTGCACTAGAAGGTAAGAAAATTCGTGTTAATTGTTAAAGTATTTCTAGAACAAAAAGGACCCGTGTTTGTAAAGATCATTTCACAGTGTTGAATAACGACAAGTCACTGTTATGATATCGCACCAATGTGGTTCGTACGCTTTTTAATGATTTTATTAATTGGCAAATTCAGATGTAATGGCTGTTTTATGTCTTCCCCGAGGCGATTTTGTGGAGGCACTTCGGAACACAAGTCGATCACGTCACTGTCAGTGTCGTTTCTAGAATGTATACTATCAGCCATATAAATTACAGCCATCGCTACCTGTCATTATGAACACGATCACTACTATTAAAAGCGTCCATTGCGGTTGCCATGACAGCGGAATGGCGGAACATATCTCGCCGCGTTCGAACGACAGCTCTGCCTTAGAAGCTTGTTTAGCCGACAAACACAGTGACTGCACTTCTATTATATAGTATCACTGAACCGTGTGTGTATACTTAGACGGCTGTGTATTCGACAGCTTCTGTTACGCGTTAAAATCATTAGCTAGGTAGCTGGTTGTTGTCACAACATCACGTCTGTTTGTCTGTAATTGCGTGTATTTCTATTGTGGATTAAATTGGCAGGCTTATTCACATTAGGCAACACAAATGAGGAGATTATGAAGTCGATATTTTTTGTTATGTCTGTACAGAGTCTCGATTAATACAACGCTACCACTTGTTCTTTGCACATAGTAACGGTGCCACGTGATATAAATGATATATATATATATCTGTTAAATTAAGAGATCAAAATAGTTATGATAACGTTCACTCCGTTTGTCTTGTTAAATCGTGGAAGTGTTGCACACTGTTGGAAAGTCACGCTAACTGATAAAATGAAGTAGCCTAAAAGGCATGAACTTTGAGGTCAAATGGTGAATTGCATTTAATTACACACTTTTTCTTCACCGAGTGCGTTAAAAAGAAGTTCGATTGTTCAAACATAAGAACCGTGACATAAACTGGGCGTATAGAGCCGCTATGAGGTCTATATTCGACACCTGGCTACTGACTCGGTCATGGCGGAAGGCAGAATACAATTGGGTACAAAACTTGGTAATAGCTCACTCTGATCATGTGTCTGAGTACGTTAGAAGCTGCCAACATCACTGGAATACACCGTAAAATACTCAAACAAAAAGCTACAATATGCGGAAAACAAATTTGCTGTGATTTAATACCCCTCAAGTTACCGTTGATTTGGAATGTATTCTAAACATTCATCAATGCATGAAGCTAAAAGAATAGTTCCATGGATAGGGGTACCTAAGTGTGACTAAGGTACCTGCATATATCTAGAAACATTACGTCTGTAGGTCCATGGTAGCTGCAAGACAACACAATCCTATGTCCAGTCAAAATAAAATTACACATAAATAAGGTGACCAACAGTGGAATAATCATAATATTTATGTCATTGTCACTGTACAATTATGTGAATATGACCCCATCGTTAACTGGACGCATTCATGTACGGATTGTATAATGGCGATTCATTTCTGTTGTAAGTGGGAGTTTTGTATTTGGATCACACTTCGACACTTTGCAACGTACTCTGCTAATGACAATGCAACAGATGAGTGAAACCTTCACAAATGTATTTCATTGCTAGTAATATTATTGTCAGTAACTAGTTTGTCACTATTGATATAAAGTTTATTAAAATTTGCTTAGTGATATGGTGATAACTACTTTAATGAAATCAAATCCTCATTTGGGATTTAAATAAAGATAAAATATAGTTTAAACAAACATATTGCCGAAGAAATAAAGGTAGAATTATGTGGTAAATTTGTCTGTATGGCTAGCAGTGTCACTTCTTAAATAAAAGCACTTGAAAATGTATTTACTGAGATTCGTTAGACTGTGTTATCATCTGTTATCATGATGTTGATAGGATTTTCTGTATCTGTTTTAATTGTCGTCTTAGTTTCAAAATCGCGAAATTCAATTCATAAGTTATTACATGGAACACGTAAAATTACATTCATCCTAGATTTGGTTGCCCTTACAGTAGAGACATTTTCTGTTTTCCAACTTATGTCTAATGTATCTGCCAGTGCTTCAATTTTAAGAATGTGAACACTACTTATACTGGTAAATTTAATTAGATCAGCTCTATTTAATTATTTTTTGAAAACTAAATCGAGGTATATTTTCACACCAAAGTCTTTTTCCGTTTTTTTAATTGTATTGTAAATAACTGTTATTTGTTGAATAACCTATTAATGTTGATCCCAAATTTGCATTCTATATACTCGAATGATCACTGGTATTTTACATATGTATTTTTTTAAATAAATAACGCTGTGTTTGTGGATACTAATTTTATCATTAAGAGTGTTTGTCGATCAATACATATTGTAAACATCGCCTTATAAGTGAATACATAACAACAATTGTCTTCATACTATGTAATGACGTAATAGGTTAACGGTCATACATCCTGGTACTTTTGGTGGCATTGGTAGATTTATAACAACCAATATAAAACTAAACAGAGCAGTAGCTCTGTAACTTCATTTTTATGATATATTCACTATATGGCCTGGAAGTAATTTATATTGTCTGAGGTGTGCACACTTTGGAAGTGATTTATGTTTTTCATTGAAATTGACTTCCTAAAACGTATTTGCTCTATATTTAATCTGGGGGAATGGAATGCGACTTTAAGTACTCGGATATTTGACTTTAGAGGTCATTGCTATGCCAACATATTCCAGATAAACCAAACATATATTGGATTCGACAACATATGCTTTGGGATCACTAGTATAGTAGTTACGATTCCAGTTTCATTTCCCATTGTTGTCAAAGTTGTTGTTATTTCCTTCTTGACGGTGTACAATGCAGTCGCTTTGGTTTCACAACCCCAAACAATGCCATTGAGTTGTTTTGTGAATCGGGACAACGTCATTGTGTCGCACTCAATAAGTGTCAAGTGTTCAACGACTATCACGTGATTTTCCGCGTCGATTGCTACTTGTCCTTATTGACGCTGACACTGTCACCCAATTTGTTTTATAAATACACGCGACCTGTTCAGTGGACCTGAAAATTTGCCTCCACATTCCGACGTCGTGCTTTGGACTGTAACAAATTCAATGTACACTACGGTGGATCGTGTTGTCCCAGGAGAACCTAAGACCACTGAAAGAAGTCTGGGGAGAACAAGCTTCGCTGTGCGAGTTAGGAAACCCGCCAAAACTAAAACTGAAGTTTAAAGTGAAGTTCAAATATCGTAACTTTACGTCAATGCACAGTCCCTCTGGACTGTGGTCAATGTGACTACAGTTTTCAAAAGGAATGTACCATTAATTCCTAACTGAAGATTTGCTCGTATTTCGATCTGTTTTATTGACTATAATACCGAGCCTTGGAATATGTGAGTGTAAATATTGCTGAAACTAATCTATTTCAAAATGGCGGCACGTCATTTGTGATTTGAGAGTAGTTAGCCGAGTGCAATATTGCTATTGCTAGGGTAGCCGAATGTGCCTCATTTTCGGTCAACTCGTTTAATACGTTAAATATCTGCTCGAACCTTCGTGCCCCCTTAAGCTATGTATAGAAAGTACTACTTGTAAAACACAGCTAAAACCTACACATACCTCGGAATAAAAGTTCACAAATCGGTAAAATTTGCAGCGGCTCAGGAAAACGGTGGTCGTGACGAAACTCAGAATAAACACTCATATCCATCAAATGGAAAGGGTAGATATAATAACATAAATGTTGAAGATAGAATCTGCCCAGTCTGTCACCAACAGGAAATTGAGAATGAACAACATTTCCTTCCCAAATGCAATCTATATAAGAAGCAACGAGAAAACACGATTAAAATATTAATTTAAGTCAACTCCATGACGGATGGTATTTTTTTATCAGATCTGTTAAAAAGTAAAAATAACAAAACAAATAAATTCATCCACACTTGTTTCAGAATGAGCCAATATAAAATCCTATAAAATGCCAATTGCCTCAACCAACCGAGACATAAAGAAATCAAATCATTCTTTTTTGTTTTTCTGGTTTTTATTTTTTTTTTCATCATATCACTGATGTTTTTTTCTCTTGCTGTTGTTGTTATTTTATTGTTCTCTTTACCAAGATCCCACTTACGTTTTCAATAAAGATTATTATTATTATGACATTACCCAATAGTATATTTTTTGAATCGGTCGATTGTACAGCGCATCTGCAACCAGTATATACGCATATAACATATAAATAAACAAATCCTGTTTTATCTCAGTTTCAGAGTAAGTCACAATGTCGGACGAAGCACATAGGAGAATGAATTTGGCCTTTGGCGGAGGGATATTTCTCGGAACGTACCAGTTAGGCGTCGCTAAAGCGTTTTACAATAATGGCCAGGCGTTACTGGATCACGTGGAGTGCTACAGTGGAGTGTCCAGTGGCGTTATTGCTGCTGCTCTATTGCTGTTATGTCCGGATAAAATAGGGGTAGGTATCCTCTACGTGGACATTACTTAGATAGTATTACGTATGTGGCGGATGCATCGGGGAAGTGCGTTGGTTGATCGTAACCTTTTCAGTCTGTATACATAGACAATACAAAGTGCCTGGTGTCATATTATATATTTCACTTGTAATATGTACATTTATTACACTCAAACACGATCTATTTTACACCATTATGCATCCAACTGAGTTCAGAAAAAGCCATAATTAAAGCGTGGGTGTCGTCACCTGCGCATGCGTCAGATGGCCATAGCTTGTCATTGTTTACAAACAAGTGTTTACCCATAAGTCTTTGCGTTTTTAGCGTGTGTTGTTATCATCGCTTGGTACTCAATTCCCGCGCGTGCGCAGGTGACGACCCTCCCGCTTTAAATACATCAAGTGAGCATTAGGAGTGTTGATGTGCATCTTTTCAGTGTATATACAAACTATAATTTTTCATATTGATATGTACAGTTGCTTGTCAGTGATGAATAAATTATCATTCTTGGTAATTATCACACAAAATTCAAATTACAAACGTGCGAAAGTAGTCAGTCGGATAACATTACAGCATTAGATTTGCCTTAAGTCTCACAATGTGACTTCATTTTAGGATGTGGTTTACAAAATACAAACATTTGATTACCAAATACCTTCGTACATAGTGAAAAATATTTTTACTTAAAATGTTGATTACAATTAACGTTTGCTAAGGCATTCAAAAAAATTGAATCCATGATCAATCAAAGTTGGCTTTCATTTGATTGAGTGGACAGATCGCTTTGACATAATATTTCATAATATTTCCTATCTTTCCAGATACTCCTCTTTCCACAAACTACGTGAAAGCAATTTGCTGAACATTTCATCTTGAAATGTCCAGGGGTCGTGAAACGAACTGTTAGCTACACATTAAGTGTATGTTTTCTATATTTCCGGAGACGGAAGGTTATACAAGTATCCATTTCTGAGAAAATGTTATCGAAATCAAAAGACAATAATGTCATTGTACAAATACAGTAAAACGTCACTTAAAGAAATGGGCGATAATAGATTGCTACTATAGGCAAACAACTTCAATTTATTTATTTGTTTGCTGACTTATTTGTTATAAGTTGCCAACAAGAAATGTCTCCCAAAAGAAGACTAATACACGGGTCATAAACTACCATAAACTTTTTTTTCTAAATTAATGTAGAAGAGGGGAATTTGAAACTGCTTTTTCGCACCTTTCTTTGTGAAAACCTGTATCCACCCCAACACACGACGTCACTTATAGAAGAAATATGAATAAGTTTCAGCACAAAATATTCTTCTAAAACTAAAAAAAAAATGTTTTTGCAGCAAACATAGAAGTTACCATATTCATTCTGTGAAATAATGAAATGTATCGGCACGCATGCGCTCAATGATATATCACCAAAACATCATAGATCCTGTTGGGTTTTGATCAAACGAAGAACGTTTTAAGTTACGGTGATTAATATCAACAAGCAATACTAAACAAATCATTGTATTACACTTTCAAAATATCCACAATGCGCCTGTAAATGAGTATCAATAATTGAAATTCAATCATTACAGTACTGCAGGTTATACATAAACTTTTTGAATTGCGCCTTCCGCCTAACGCTGAAAACTGTGTTGTTATTTTGCCACTGGGACACAATTAACGTTTTAAAAACAGATTCGGCAATTTACTGTGACAGTTTGTAACCCACACTAGTAGTTGCGTAGTTGTTCGCAATGATCTAACGCCAATTTTGATTAAGATATCAGGATCGTACCCTCCGATTACCCACAAAACATTCGAACTCAATTTTTACTAAACACACTTATTTTAACAGGAGTACATCGCACACGCTAAGGTGCTAGCCGATGAAATCCGAAAACGAGGCGGGCTCAGCCCGGAACTGAAACCATCTCTGGCAGACAGACTCAAGAAAGTACTGGTGTCGATTTTGCCGGAGGACGCGTACCAAAAGGCGACGGGCAGGCTGTGTATCACAGCAACGCCTTTCAAAAAGATGAAACACGACTACACTATGCCGGTGTACTGGGGTGATGGCACGTCGTGGATGAGGTATGGTCTTTCCAAGGGGACTACGGCGCTGGATATTTTTAAGAAGTTGACAGTATTCCCTGAAAATAAACTACATCCTATCACAGAGTATAAAGACAACGAGTATCTAATTAATGTAAGTCCTAAGGTCTATTACCCTTTGTCCGAACACGTCACCAAAGCCGCCATCTTGTTTGTTCTGGTTGGTAGCTGGTCATGGTATAATCGTCAAAATCTGTTTAATTGAAGTGCTACAAATTTCTGAAAACAAATTGCCTGTACGAACAGACACCCATGCGTGTCGCTAATTCGCTACGAACGAGGGTACATATTGATGACGTACTAGTAATTGAATATCACGTACTCTAGAACTTGTAAATAACCCATTGTCACATTTGTGGAATGAACGTCCATCCTGGTGCATTTTCATGATAAATGGTGTCAAACTGTACGCACGCCTTATCAATCCACCTTTGAACATTAAAGCGCGGTGGTCGTCGCGCAGCGCGTGTTCGAATTTCATGTAAATAAACAATGTATTTTACACGCGTTGTATACGTCGCTATGAGTCCCATATCGAACGGGACGCGGCGCGACGACTGCCATCCTTTAAGTATGCGGGAAAACGAATGAAATAGATATACAGACAACTGAGGGAACACATTGGAATTATAACGTATGTGCCTGCGCGGGGTCACTAATTCCTAAATTTTCAAACAAATTTATGTAAGGAATAGCATGCTGCTATTTCATCAAACACATATTTACCACCGGTACCATTAATGTACTACTTTCTGGGTAAACCACAGCCAGTTGTACGTACAAATAAAATGCCTTTATATTCCATAGAATAGTATACGTTTGGTGCAACGTTGCAAATAAGTAAGCGTGCTGCCCTTTGAATTAATAAGTACGTGCCAGTATTTCAAAACGCATGCGCACTATTTCACGAAAAAAACATACTTTGTTGTGCGCGAACACGTCACGTTTTAGTTACCAATAAATCATAACCGAGTTCCTAATCTTCAGTTTAGCCTCATCTTCAATTATTATTATCGATGTTTACTTCACAGGCAATTATTGGTGCAACGTACATTCCTCTTTGGGGAGGCCCAGAATTTCCGGAATTTGATGACTTGGTAAGTTGATCGCAAACGCAATCAGGTTATAGCGTGTATTGGGCGAGTGAAGAGTAAACACTCCATTTTCAGTTCGTACCATCCAATGGTATATAATTACAGACGTCGATGCCCACATCGACGGCGATTTTTTTGTTAAATAAGATCACCGGTAGCCTGGTGGTTGTTGCATCGTACTCATGATTGTTATTTTTGAGTTCAAATTTTAACTGAGGACCCAAATGAAGTCGATTCCTACCTTGGATGAGTATATATGCCATAGGCTCAACTGGGGTGGGGGATTTCATTCAATGAACGAATGAGACTTTGCAAGAATCTTGGCTAAGGTTCGCCTGCCTGGCTGACGGCAACATAGCTTATTATATTGCCATACTGATAAGAAGATGGCCACACCGCCCTAGCATGTCGTCTTAAACGTCGTGATGGAATAAGGTTTATGTACACAGAAAACAGAATAAGAGGGACAATCACGATGGTGACATTCAAAGACGAGTCCGACTACTTTCTATGTATTTTCCTGCATCTCCGCATGCATCTTTGTATTAATGGTGGTTTTGAAAGTTATAATTACAATTTTGATTTCTTGATTAATATTTCGGCGTGTTCGCCACAATTTGAAACCGACTTTTACTTAAAAACTCACTAGTCGGTGGTGGCGCTATTTGAATGCACTTTTCTCTCGCCTCAAAGCCGACCGACAATTCCTGACCGGGTGAGTGAACATTGAATACACTCTCCCAAAATGTCCTGGAACACACAGTCATCTTGTGTAAAAGTGATAAAACAAAGAAGTAGTGCCACGTCATTTACTATCAAATATACACACATTAGGGGTGGTCCATTTCAGTAGGGGGGTGAAATTGAACACAAAAATATACAATACCAAACACAACCGAAATTACTTGCAGGAGGTAAATAAATCAACACAAATATTTTGGTGGAGGAAAACACAAAATCAATTACACACAATTTTTGACCTTGTCAGTCCTGTAGAAATAATAGTTCATCTTTAATTATAATGTGCAATGGTTTTTTTTTTATTTATTTCAGTGTTGGATGGACGCTGGCTTCACGAACAACCTTCCACGAACAGACTGTTTTTCCAACGACTACAAAACCATATCTATATCACCGTACATGGGGGATAACCTGTCCATCTGTCCAGCCAAAAACATCAACGGTGTCGAGCGCGACCCGACATTCTTCACAGGCCAACCTCTCGACTGGAGTATTTGGAACCTGACCCGAGCAAAGGACGCCCTCTACCCACAGTCAGGCGAGACGTTGCATGAATACTACGAGTACGGTTTCTTCGATACGGACAGATTCTTAAGACGTCTTGTCAGAGATTAGGCGTACATGTAGTTATGAGTGTCAAAATTATTTGTGCAATTGTACATGTATAAGTGGTTATATTCTACAAAAACGAACTAAAATACGTTTGGCACGCCATTGTGCCTGGTCGTTGTGTCATTTCATATTCCGATGTTCATCTCAGACAACAAAAGCAGCGACATGTTACATCGATGGACGATAGATATTTATTACAAAATTGTTTCACGTCTTATCAGTCAAACAAGCATTTCCAATAACAGTCGTTGAGGGCAGTCATTAGAAATTCCCTTCAAGTCCAATGGAATTATATATGTCTCGCGTATTCTCAAACATTTTTTTTTTCAAATACTGTTCACAGCCATGCTAGAGGCGCCGTCCAATATTAATCCGTCCATTGCATGAGAATTCTTTTCAATCTAAGATACGATATTCCCTTGTTATAACAACAAAAATAAATTCGCCAGGAAAGTTTCTCACCAAAGATTTTATTTGGCGTCAAAGTTAATTGCATACGTGATGTACTAAAATAGAGCGTATAAATGTATTGATTGTATATGTCTTTCTTTTTAGCATTTTTTTTTGTGAATTTAAAGGCTATTTATGATATTGCGATAGATTTTAATTTTATGTTGTGCCATGTTTTGGAAGTTTCTCAAAGGATTTGGACAGATGTCGTGAATGATCCGGGGAGGGATAATACCCTTGAACCATGGAAGGGGTGCGCTGCCAGTACCTTGTTTTACCGTTTTACAACAAATGTTTATAAATGTGTAGCAGACTATGGTCGTTTTAACATGGGTCACTATGGGTGACAACCCATTACTGTAGACTGTGTTTTTTTTGGCAAGGCTCACTATGGGGCCACAACCCGTTACAGCAGACTATGGTTCTTTTGGCAAGACTCACTATGGGGTCACAACCCATTACTGTAGACTGTGGTTCTTTTGACATGGGTCACAACCCGTTACAGCAGGCTTTTGGTATTTTGATATGGGTTCACAACCTGTTACTGCAGACTATGGTTATTGTGTTATGGGTCACAGTGGGGTCACAACCCATTAATGCAGGCTTTGGGTATTTTGGCATGGGTCACAGACCGTTACATCAAGCTTTGGGTTTTTTGATATGGATTCACAACTCGTTACTGCAGATTTTGGTTATTGTGTTATGGGTCACAGTGGAGTCACAACCTATTAATGCAGGCTTTGGGTATTTTGGCATGGGTCACAACCCGTTACAGCAGGCTTTGTGTATTTTGATATGGGTTCACAATCGTTACTGCAGATGTTAGTTATTGTGTTATGGGTCACAGTGGGGTCACAACCTATTAATGCAGGCTTTGGGTATTTTGACATGGTCACAGACCGTTACAGCAGGCTTTGGGTTTTTTGATATGGGTTCACAACTCGTTACTGCAGATTTTGGTTATTGTGCTATGGGTCACAGTGGGGTCACAACCCATTAATGCAGGCTTTGGGTATTTTGGCATGGGTCACATCCCGTTACAGCAGGCTTTGTGTATTTTGATATGGATTCACAACTCGTTACTGCAGATGTTGGTTATTGTGTTATGGGTCACAGTGGGGTCACAACCTATTAATGCAGGCTTTGGGTATTTTGGCATGGGTCACAACCCGTTACAGCAGGCTTTGTGTATTTTGATATGGATTCACAACTCGTTACTGCAGATGTTGGTTATTGTGTTATGGGTCACAGTGGGGTCACAACCTATTAATGCAGGCTTTGGGTATTTTGGCATGGGTCACAACCCGTTACAGCAGGCTTTGGGTATTTTGATATGTGTTCACAACTCGTTACTGCAGATGTTAGTTATTGTGTTATGGGTCACAGTGGGGTCACAACCTATTAATGCAGGCTTTGGGTACTTTGACATGGGTCACAACCCGTTACAGCAGGCTTTGGGTATTTTGATATGGGTTCACAACTCGTTACTGCAGATTTTGGTTATTGTGCTATGGGTCACAGTGGGGTCACAACCTATTATTGCAGGCTTTGGGTATTTTGACATGGGTCACAGACCGTTACATCAGGCTTTGGGTTTTTTGATATGGGTTCACAACTCGTTACTGCAAATTTTGGTTATTTTGTTATGGGTCACAGTGGGGTCACAACCTATTATTGCAGGCTTTGGGTATTTTGACATGGGTCACAGACCGTTACATCAGGCTTTGGGTTTTTTGATATGGGTTCACAACTCGTTACTGCAAATTTTGGTTATTTTGTTATGGGTCACAGTGGGGTCACAACCTATTATTGCAGACTGTTTTTTGGCATGGGGCATTATGGCTTACAACCCATGCTATGAACTATGGTTCTTTTGGTATGGCACTCTATGGGCACAACCCATTACTGTAGACTACGGGTTCTTTTGGCATGGATCACAACACGTTACTGCAGGCTTTGGGTATTTTGACATGGGTTACTATGGGTGACAGCCTATAGCACAGTCTATGTTTCCTTTGATATTCTCACTATAGAGCACGACCCGTCACTGTAGACTACGATTGTTTTGGTGCGGGTCACTATGGAGTCACTATGTATGTCGTCAGCTATTTTACACCCATAGGATTACACAAAACCTGTTGGCATTGTAGGGTATATTGTTAGCAATGGGATCCGAATGCTGATTGTAGACCCCTTTCCAGACCATTGAAAATGTGAACGGTTTAATAATGGACTCAGGAGAAACTCACCGTCACCCGTTGCATGTACCATTTAAAATACTGTGTCTTTATTACCAGGTGAACTCGTAATTTTTTTTTTTTTTTTTTTTTACCATTCTTGATCAAACTGTGATTTGAATAGACTGGTAACTTCTGCTGAGTACCCGATCACCCTGCCAAGATATTCGGAAATCAAAAGCTCTTGCCCTTTTTTTCATTTTCATAACAAAAATATGGATCCTCTCCTCGTCAAATAAATTATAATTGATTTTACCATCAAATCGTTTACCGAATAATCAATCTTTTTGAAAGGGTGTGCGTATTTGTCTTCACCAGTCAGTAAAAAACAAACGCTAAAGTAAGAACTTAAAAACACTGCATGTGGATAAAAATAAAAATGTCTGTGCATCTTTCATTGATCTGTTACTATCTGGGGTGAAAGGGCTCGGAATTGACGCGAGAAGTTGCTCCTAACGACCAACGGTTTGTTGATAGTTGCGCAGCGCTCGACGGGAAATATGTAAGGCTTACAAATGAAGCGATCCGCCCCTGAATGCAACCTTAGTTCACTAAGATATTGGTCCACAATAAATCGCGTTGTCACAATGATAGGCGAAGAGTGAGTTCTTTGCAATCAATTTTAAGTAGTTGGACACAAAAACCGAAGAAGAAGAAGACATACACTATACTAACAAATTGTGTCGCTGTGTAGACAGATAGACGGACGTACTGAGTGAACTTGGATCTATGCGCCAGACATCAGTGTCAGTGGACAACGATTAACGCATTGCCAAGATTCAGTCACCTCTACCGGCTGTAATCACTGGTAAGTGTCGGTAACTATTTGTTACATTGCATAAATGAAACTACCGCTATTAAAGTTATGGTGTCGACGACCACACCGCTCTCTCAACCGTGGTTACCGTCGCAGTGAGGCAGCTTAGCACATGAGGGGATTACTGTTGGAGTTTTACTGTAGCGAGGTACTGCCAAGATGCCTGGTAACTGCCGTATAACGTGTCCCGGCGTCCAGTATCATCAGTATGCTGTAATACACACATGACGACGGTGTTACAATATGATACATTTCTCTCATTACCAGCACAAATCCAAATCATCACCTAGCAACCTAGACTTTATAAACAACATTTCATAATTATTGTCTGACAAAAACACAGGGCCAGTAAATACACAGGGTGGGGGCGGTAAATCAGATTTCGTTTACGGATCATAAATTGATTTTTATAGAACATCTATGGCTGTTATTCCTGATAATTAGCCATGCATTTTTGTATATTTGACTTGACTCCCGTGGTCGAAAGTGGGTCTAATAAAACTAAAAGAGTTCTAATCCCCCTCCTTGCAACAAATATGACCCGTCCCTTGATAGTTACTACAAACCAATTACTTGACGTATGTGTAAATATTGGGTCACACACACAGAAAAGTATACAAATAAACCGTGCATGTATTTTTTAATATGGAAATGTCTTGTAACAATACAAAACATTTTATTGTACCGTTATATCAGTACTCTACACAATGGAAACACTTATGATTGACAAATGGTCATGTACGTAGAGGATAGGTGCGAGTGATTGTCAACAAGTATACGACTATGAATGCACTGCCTGTTGCTAAATAAACTCTATTCCATGTCATAGAAATCACTCAATAGATAGGTATATCTCATCATGGTCTTCCGTTTGAACTTAAACTAATAATGCACAATGAGAAAAAACAACAAACCGTTGTGTTTTTGCAGTCTTTGCACTCTTTTCAGTCATAATAATGAAAAGAAATCGTGATAATCCGTCACCGTTGCACTCTGGACCTAACTGTTTTTTTTCTAAAGGACGTTTAACCCCGCATCGCCCTCACAAAGCGCGGTGTCATTCTTGTCCCATTATTCTCGTGTTATGGCCGTAACAACGGCTGAAACCCGGCCAGTAAAAACGCTTTAATGAATAAAACCTTATCAGCTTATGGAAACAAACCCCTTTAAATGTGTTGTTTTTGTAATTTGTTTCCTTCGGTGTATTTTTATTGAGTACCATGATTCGCATCGGCTCATATTGGGGGATCCATTCATCGCCAACACCGCGTGACAGGCAGGCCTCGATATACCTTTACGCCTTAGATACGACGCGTACATGTGTGTCTCTGTTATGAAGAGAGCTTCGTCTCCCAGTAAAACAACGGTTTATATACACACTCTCTCTTTCTTTCTCTGTGTCACGCCTGTACGTATATACATATTGTATCTTTTGGGATTGGCTGTTTATAGTTCGGTAACAAGCTGAGAACCCCACTAGCAAGCTGAGAACCCCACTAGCGGACGCCGAGCGAGGACCACGGACAGGTAAGGTATAGACATACTCACGAGATATTTTGTTGCTATGTCACGATGAAAACTCAGACAGACATAGCGGACAGTTGTAGCCTGCAATGTTTTCGCTTTGTCGCGGTCTTCTTGTGGAGTATTTAAACCAATCATTTGCATTAATATTAATAACGATACATATATTGTTTAAACTTAATAATTTGAATGGTCGGTTTGAATTGAAGGTGATTTTGATGTCGTCTTTTTATTTCGCTTTTGATTCATACGTAATGTAATTTGGTTCATACAGCACACTAACTGTGCGGTGTGCCAAGAAGACGTATGGAAGTGATTGAGTCAAACATAGACGAACTTGAAAATAAAGGACTAAGTCTATATCACATACGCGCCAATTTGTAAATATGTTTAAACTTTTAGTCGCATGCATTATTGTTGTTCGCCGTTACCGAACAAGTGTTTATCTAATCTGACTATTCAGCGTTGTACGTGGGTAACACGCAATATCAACAATCACACCCTTGTATCTATAGAATCCCCGGTGTAGAAAATAACTTCATGGTGCTCCAGTGATCATGTTTCAATTTGGTATGAAAGTGGGGCTTTCAGTTCACTCTGTGCGTAACCATAGTCACGGCAGATTTCTGTTTCAACACTGGGATGAAATTTCACCATGCAATTTGCTGTTGTATTATACTGTACTTCAACCACAAAGTAACTTCTAACAGTAAATGCGAGTCGCGTGCTTGGTAAATTCTCGGGAAATTGATATGTATGTGAAGATATTATTGATATAAAATGGCGCCTGTCGTGGAAAGAATGAGGAAAAAATCGCCAAACGCGTTTAAGATTTTAAAATCCCCATGGAAACTTGTCAAATTGTTAGGTAGGCGGCGTATCCATAATATGTAAGTGGCAACTCTCGTTAAATTATAAGAACCAAACAGTTGTCTGTTATACGCATAAACGTGCGAACCGAACAATACATTGTCACCTGTGAAGCAATATCGCATTTAAAGAGAATTATTCCAGTGCTATGTTATTGACATTGACAATGCAGCTAACAATGTAAAATAAGACTGGCCGGTACTAATTCTAAGAACACGTTGCCGTGTTTGAGACCAGCCAAGGCCAAAAGGTCCCGTCGTTTCATCACGAACAAAGATGGGAACGACGATGATAATCGGGGATTGAAGTTGAACTGTAATTCATTGATCGCCAATGGGGGAATGCAGGGCCAATACTTAAAAATAAATCACGGACTTCCACTGCCTGAACTCAAATGATCCTTCAGCCATTTGTGTTGCCCGGGCAATTCTTAACTTATCGGGAACATACCCGCAGACATGGTACACTTCTGTGCAGCCTTCCAAATTGAGTCCATCCACCACTCAGTGGAGATGTAAGACCGAATTCTGTATAAACACAACTTTGCGCCCGAACATTGATAGTTATACTGGTAATTATTATACACATTGTTGTAAATATGATGTTCCACCTTGTAACATTATGTTTCAGTGAAACGATGTTTTTTTTTTTTGCGCAAAAGATTATCTAAACAATTATATAATTCGCGTGTATTCATAAAGCGGAGGAATAGTAGGCCTGGTTCCGAGGATCCCGGTACTTCAAGGTTCATTGGAACGTGCCGCATTACGCGAACCCCTATATGGAGATCCTATGGTATCCTCTCCACCTGAGACCAACATTCATTGGTTCGGGGTAACATCCATGACTACAATGACACGGCTATATTGGAACTCTACAATTTCTATCTGAGTGCATCTACCATAGAATTGTATAACCTATTTCGAAATGTTCTCTTAATCATCGGAGATTACATATAACGAACATCGCTGAGAACGGGCTTTAATATTATTGTGTAAGAACAGGTGTCCGTCACCAAGACATCGTGAATTAGCGCCAATGCAATTCCATCAGTTAATTGTTTACTTTTCACAAACGAATACGCCTACTGTTAATATAGCAGTTTTGTCAGTGTGTCTCAAGCATATCTGAAATATAATAGCAACGACAAAATAACATTCATTATTTTAGTTCGATATTCATGATAAAAACATCCTTGATTATGATTTAATAAACACGCTGTTATTGAGCTCATACTGTAAAACATGTCAATTTTGCTTATTGCTAATTCAAGTTATCGCTAATTTAAAAGTATATTTTCACAATGAGGTTTTGACACTAGAGCTAAAATAAGACCCAGTTAAATCATGCATTTAGTCAAATTCGCCTAAATGGTATGCAGCTATTTCGCAGTGTTTTACAGTTCCCAGAAATAAATATGCATTGGCTGGGAAATACGGACATTGTGTGCACGTGATTTGAATTAATAGTACGTACCTGTAATTAAGAACGCGTGCACGTTTGTGCAGTTTATTTCACATCTAACAATTAGACACGGGTTTAGGCTATTTCGATAAATTATAACCCAGTTGCTGAACATTCCACCAACCCAATTCAAACAATTTTATGGTGTGTATGTAATGTCGGCTTAGTATCCGCTGTCACGTGATGGCAGTGGTCGACACAAAGAACATACTACCCATTATGTTAGTGTTGAAGAATGACAATCAAACGTAACAAATCACACATAGATTAAAATGCATGCAGTAACGATGACAACAACTGACGTCGAATGGTCAGCAAATCACATCACGTGACACAACTAAATACTTTTGATAAGGGCAAAACAAATTGTTTGTCGCCCTCAGCGACCGACCGAAAAATATGGATTATCGGGTCGCGGTTTTTTTTTTTTTTTTTTTTTTTTAATAGGCTTAAATATTAAAAGCTCACCATTTTAAACAGTAAAAAGTGTTTCCTCAAAAAATTAACGATCCCGGACCGTTGTTTGGTCCCCAGGGTTCCTGGGAGGATAAGTGGCGACTTTGAACCTCGGGTTGATCTGTATTTAAATACAAAAGACTGAAAGAAACGCTTTGATTTTTGTGTTTAATATCTAGCATGCGTTTCATTGATTCCCATATACCTAGGCTATTTACGATACTCTTAGTTTTCACGAGTTTAAAAAAAAATAAAAAAATCCGACCGACCGACCCAATTTTTCAATTTTCCGACTTGAGGGCAACATAAGTTTTTTTTTTTTTTTTTTTTGCCTAAATGAGTTGCTCATCGGGCGAGGTGTGACCTAAATTCACTGTTTCCGATATAGAATGCGTCATTTTGAGAGTTTAAAAAATCTGACGGTAAAGAACAAACGCATAGTACATACATTATTTGCCTGACCGGTCCTTTATTCAACAGTCGTCTGTGAAAGAAAAGGGTGGCACGTTAAAGAACAGATATACTTTATTGTTATCACTGCGAACGTATCATTGTGGGAAAGTATGCTATTCGTACTTCTTGTGCGCATGCGCATAGTGACATGTATGCTAATGTAATGTAATATGGGTCATGGTTGTATGCACAGTCCCTCAACGTTGAGGGACTGTGTTGTATGCAACAGAACTTTGTTAGAACTGATAAATAAATGTTTAGATTTGAGTAGATTAACAGGAAACGTTGCAATTTAGCACAGAGTAACTCATAGCTGGTTATACCAACTCACCCACAATAACTACGCATAGTACATGTATGAAAATATATTAACATTACATATATTATGTATCGTTTGTAGAAAATCTAAATACGCTGTAACTTTAGTAATTGGAATATGAACTCGACGAGTGACAACAAAATCAACTTATGTTTTGGAGGCAGTACGTTCCTGGGTGTATATCAACTTGGGGTGGCGCACTCTCTCTACAATAATGCTCAGGAACTGCTGAATAATGTGGAATTCTACGGCGGGACATCGAGTGGATCGATAGCTGCAGCACTTTTATTGTTATGTCCTGATCGAATATCCGTAAGTATATATGTATGTGTATTTTTATGTACATCAATTAGTTAATTTACATACAGTCCAAGCGTTACGGCCAGATCGAGCGCTCAAGTTAGTTTCCACCACTTGCTACACCATTCAGAGGATTTGTCTTTGATCTATTTTACAATCTTACAATGCGACTCGCAAAACCTGCATATATTTCCGGGTCAATAGGTCAAGATAACATTATTGTTTGTGTTTGTATGTTCAGTATTGAGCTACAAGATGGGTAGCTAGGAACTTCAAACTTGGAACAATGTTTCTCGTGTTCGTTTAGGGACAAAAGGTCAATGTCACAGTGTGTGTTTATGTGTACTCGTACTATGTAATATAACTTCATGGGGGAAAACTAGGACCTTATGATATGGCAGATGAGTTCCTTGCACATGCCACTCACAACACCTGGGCGTATTATTGGGTCAAATGGTCCTGAAGAGTCATGATCTCAGTATGTATTTACGTATGTTCAGTTTGGGTTACAAGGGTTAATTGCTAGGAACTTCAAACTTAACACACTTGTTCACTGTGTAACCCACATGATACAAAGGTCAAAGTATATATTTGTACGTATGTTCACAACGGAAAGATAGGAAAGATGTTCAATTTATGATATCAATACTTTCATTTTAAAGTCAAAGGTCAATGTGACACCGAATGTTGAAATCTAGCGCAAGTTGCTTGTAGACACGTCTACATATTGGAAGTGATACTCGTAGATTGGCCGTTAAAAATTATGGGATGCTTAAGAGGGGGTCTGCACAGTACAACAATAGAAAGACAGTGACAGCAAAACTATATTCATGACAAAACAATTTAGGCTTAATTGATATAGGAAAACAAATTGACATCAACACTATTCTGGTGATAACAATCCGCTGGCCGTAAACCATCAGTGATGTGGAAAAATATTTGCAAAATTTGTTTCTGCCTAATGATCATATTATTCCGAAGCAAAAGCATCGTAAACACGGGGGTATACTGTTACGAATGCTATTCTGTTGTTTCTCGGTCTTTGCATTTCGATGCGGCTCTTCGCACATAGATACGGATGATGATTGTTTTTTTATTCATTATTTAAAAAATGGTACTTTTTCCATTGTATCCACAGCATTTCAGTCACTGAACTTAAAAAAAAACCCGCTGAAACCAAAATACCATTATTGGTAATATAATCTAGAGCTATGGGGTGTTACGCCACCCCACTATCACCTGAGCACGGCATACTGTGTGACAGGATAGCATAACAGTTTTGATACATAAAAATACTTTCGTGACTCTCATTGGTCAGTTTAAATGCTGGGTGCGGTTACAGCCAATATGTGACTGTAGAGAGATATTGCTATGCTCTGAATCTATGCGCTAGTATAACGCCTGGTATATACTAAACTACGCAACCCTATCTGTACCATTCTAACCAAATACTCTTATATATAGTCATACCGTTTTTTTTTTCAAAATTTCACCATATGCAGGATTACATGGAAGCCTGTCGCAGCATAGTCGACGAAATCCGATACACTGGCGGCATCAAAATGAACGATCATCCGACACTCACGGAGCGACTTCGTGAAACACTTGATAGAATTCTACCACAGGACAACGGCCCACTTCAAGACATTGCCACGAACCGTCTATTCATTGCTTCCAATAGGTTCCAGAAACGCTCTTCAAGTTTCCATCTACCAATGACGTTGCCATGGATGGACCCTCACGAGTGGATACGACTCGGGACAACCATGGGAACTACTGCTATCGACATGTTTCGTAATCACTTCATAGATACCTCTGAAGACTTCAGTGTCGCCACCAGTAATTATGAGTCAAGGAAAAACTTGATAGAGGTGAGATTTATTAATAAAGACATACTGAGATTTGTGGAAATGTATTACATGGCCCCATGATATCACGTGACATCGGTTGCCGCATCCACAATCATTCGTTTTGACATGCAAAGAATTTGTTTCGAAGGGACTTTGGTACTGTTTTATCTGTTTCATCTCTGTTGTCAAACGGTTGTCACATTTCACAAATCAGACTTTTATATATGTTCTCAACCAAAATGTTGACCAACCCTTCCAAATGATTGATCCAAACATGTAAGCTATATCTGCCTGTGTCGAAATGAATTTACGAAATATTTTGGCGGGAAATACTTTCTTTTTATCTACTAGTAAATTTCTCCTTTGTACTGACAGGTATTAAGTGGTAGCTGCTACATACCAATATGGGGAGGTCTAAGCCCGCCGCAACACAATGGATCGGTGAGTGAAAAATCTACACAAAATTCACATACGTGCACATTATAAAGAAGCTTAGTGACCCAATGGCCTTTTTCATCTGATGTTGTCAATGAACTCTGGCGAACATTATGATGTCCTCTTTTTTGTTGGGGTGGACTTTATCACAGTATCTTAATGTTAGTCAGTATATCGAGAAAAAAGATGAAATTTTCCATGTGGCTTTTATTCGCTATTATAATACCCACCCAGGTGGTCCACTTTTAAATGTGTAAATTGATTGGTTGATTGGTTGATATGAACATCATACTGGCGGCTAAACAACCCCAATAAATTCTCATTTTATTTTCTGGCTCCCCTTTTTTAGTGCTGGATGGACACCGGACTTACGAATAATATTCCCACTGAAGACATATTTCCCGGGTTCTCTAAAACAATTACAGTTGCGCCATTTTTAGGCGACGGAATAGACATCGGACCGAAAGTGAAAAATATCAGCAACGCGGTTCGAGTATCATCTATCACAACTAGCTACCCCGTGGACTGGACAGCGTGGAATTTTATGCCACTCAACGACGCCCTCTTGCCACAAACTTGGAATAGGCACATGGAGTATTTCCGGACCGGGTATGAGGATACACTTTTGTATCTCAAAAATGGAAAAGTAGTCCGGGACGAGGAACAAGAACTATGTGTGTGTTCGTGAATCTAGAGTAAAAAATCTTTATATCAGACGTATCTGGCGACGAAGATTTACTTTTATATGATTAGAAGTTCAGATATTCACATTCTGTTGTAATTTAGGCAGATCCAGAATTGCCAGCAAATCGGTTCACCTATTTTGTCAGTGGAATATATGTGCACCTTCCCCCGTACTCCGCGCCCTCTAGCGAATTATCAGTATGTTTATCAAGTTGAGTTGATCTACGTTATCTTAGTCAAGTTCTCTTATCATACGACTGGAAATACATTCATTTTGTAAAAATATATCGCATTTTAAAATGTAATACAATGCAATCCCTCTGACCCAAAATCACCAGCGCTTTTTGTCACACTTTATCTTTATGTTGCATATAATTAATTATGTCACTGAAAAAACCCCACAAAACAATGTTTTAATAAGCTCATATTAAATCATACACTAGTTAGTTAGTCGATCTAATTTAGTTTTTGTTTACTTATTTGTTTGCCCGAGTCTAACGTTTTTATGAGTAAGTACCCACATCACGTGATGCTTACTGACGCCATTTGTGAACCACATGTAATATCAAACAAAACATTTGAAATAATTTGTCCACATCTCACAATTATTATTTTTTGACAATTTTCTCTCCAACCATGAGTGTTAGAAAAATATATTTGTCAGGTTTGCGTCTAAATACAACTATATTACATTGTAATATGTACATGGTGCTATTAACGAATTCAAGCGGAGGAGTCGTCACCTGCGCATGCGTCAGATGGCCATAGCGTGTCATTGTTTACAAAAAAGCGTCTACCCATGAGCCTTTGCGTTTTTAGTGTAAGTTGTTATCGTCGCTTGTGCAGGTGACGACCCTTCCGCTTTAACGTAATACTGGGTGGTGTTTTGTTTTAAAACAAACCGTTTCGCTTATATTCACACATAATTGTCTACAGTGCAGTAGTTTCTTCTAGTTTTTAATCAGAAATTCTTATGTATATTTTGTCTAAAATGAGACAATTTTAGTTTCCATGACAACCGGTTACAGCTTAACCGTATGTTTTATTTGTATTTGTAGTTATGTCTTTATTGTTTGTACACGTTTAATGACGTGAAAGCCCACTGAGACCCGTCCATCTGTGTAAATATTTTGTTGTCAATTTCTGTAAACTATTAAAAGTACTTTCAGACTCAGTCATGTGGTCGCTTCTGTTGTTATAGTGACAATAACAATGTGTCTGTCAAATAAATGTTGGCGGGGTATCAAACGGTAAAGCATGACATGTTTTCAGGCATTCCATCAGATGTTGTGACTAGAACTCATAACATGTATGTGACGTCATAACAACGAGCTGCACGAGATGTTGTGACTAGGATTCATAACATGTATGTGACGTCATATCAACGAGCTGCACGACATGTTGTGACTAGGATTTATAACATGTATGTGACGTCATATCAACGAGCTGGTTCGCCTCCCACAGAAATAGAAATATATCTTGAATTATGTATATGACATGGGTGATGCACATATACTATATGATGTTATTCGTCTGAGCCCTGATGAGGGCGCACACTTAAGAAAAGGGCAACTTGGCCACGGAAAAATACTGTATATGGAGCTTTTTTTTTATAAACGTCCCGATGCTCCATTTACTTCTTTTCTATTTATTTACTTGTTATTCCAATATTTTATTCATTGTTATTTATTTTGGCTATTATTTTGGTTTTTCTTGCCGTTATTATTATTTTTTTTTTGGTACCTAGAGTCGGCAACCAATCAGAACACGGGTTACGACATACTTCCCCAAACGTGTCGAATAAAAAACTAAATAATGGCGAGTAAAACCAAACAATTGTCATAAATACGTGACAAATTGCCATAAATAAAATATAGAAATTAAAAAAAATGTAAGTGTCCCATACCACTAGTTCAAATGTTTGCTAAAAAAAGAAACGACGTGTCTTGAGGCCGAGTTTTAGTATACTTTGAGTTAAAACACCTACTTAATATCAGTTTTAACAACAAATCACATAACATGATGTTTCAATTATTCAATCTTTGATTGCCAAACAAAATATCCAGAATTATGTGGTCGTCCAATCTCGGTTCACTTGGTGCATTATGGGAGAGAACAAGACCCCCGAAAATGACACTAAGGCATATATCCCGACTAAAATTATTTCATCAAAGACGAAAACTATAGAGGGCGTTTTCTGTTAAATGTTTTTGGCGAGGGGGAGTGAAAGTAGAGATCCCATGAAAAACCAAACGCATCTAGAACAATATGATGTAATTTCTTAAATATCAATACAACCTTGAATAAAATCTTACATTTTAAATAAAAACAACTTAAAACATAGTACATTCGGCCCATAAGGGCGCTTCTAAAAGTTACTCTTCTGCGAATATATTTCCGACATGAGCTAATATTTAAAGTGAACAAGAACCCACTTCGCGTGCCCGTGTTTAATAATCTATTATATGCAAAGAAATAAAATGTACAATAAATAGAAGACAAATATGGAATAATGTAACATGCATGAGTAATTAAGCATGATACTAAATATATATATACATAATATCAGTTTTAACAACGACTCATATAACATGTTTTTTCAATTATTCAATCCTTTATCGCCAAACAAAATGTCCGGAATGGCGTGGTCGTCCAATCTCGGTTCACGTGGTGCATTTGGGGTAATTGAAGTGTATATGTATATACAATTCCGTCATGTCTGTACCAATACTACGATGTGCTGGAGAATTGACAATGGTCGCCATGGTGATTATCCCGACACTGGCACTTTGGAGAATCAAAGTCCACTACGCATGTGCCACCATGATTGCACCGGAAGTCGTCACACACACTGGCTGAGCAGTCTCTGCCGTAGTAACCAAAGAAGCAGCGACACGTTGCCCATCCGCCTATGTCCTGAAAACAAAAATTATTCGTTTAACACCGTGCAGGTTGGATATCAGAAACATATCATAGTGTATGAATGTAACTATCTTTCCTTTGTACTGATCGCGTAATGCATTCTACATATCAAAGTTTAGTTTTCAAGTTGTTTTATTTACAGAAAATCTCGTCTAAGTCGCCCTAAACAGTCATAAGGATATATTAATGCACAATATCTTACTAAAAGTTTTGACAGCACCAAATCTATGGCGAGATGCACGATCTAGACTATATCCGGGAAATCTATGTGAGTGCATTTTCACGTTTTTGACATCTTTGATGAAAGTATGAAAATAAAGCCACTAAGCATACAGTACATATATTGAATGAAATTGAAAGGAGAAAATAAATTAGTGTACTTACGACACAGGTGCCGCCATTGTGACACTGGTGATATTCACACATGCCGTTGCCAAGGGAACAATAGCTACCTGTGGAGATAAGTCAGATAAATAAAGATATATTCGTACGTTTTGTATTCTGTAAATGTAGCAGTCTTTATGATCATGTGATCTGAGATAACGTGTGAGGAGACGTAAAATCACACGTGACGTAGTTTTGATAACAAATTGTGTGTAAACCCAACTAAAACTAAATGAATGGTTGTTACCACTTCTGAAATGAGATGACGTGTTGGTATTCAGTTTGGTAATGGCTGGCAGGGTCATTTATATGTATCTTCTGAGAAGTTACTTTGACTGTATTTCTTCCATTGAAAAGAAAATTCATACTAAACGATTTTTACTATCACGTATTAAAAAATGTCTCCCCTTTCATTCACGTTGTTTTATTATTGTTTTGTATCATCACATATTAACTATTGTTCTAATGTTTGGAGTTTTACAACCGACTACAATATCAGGCACGCTACATTGGAGCGTTTACAGAAACGTGCCATGAGACTTATTCTTAAGATCGTACCGCCTTTCTCCGCTTAAATGGTTATTCCTGTCAACAAAACTTCGTATAAATCGTTTAAGCCATATTTACAAGGCAACCCATAACTTAACCCCAGATTAGTAGAATGTTCCATCGCTATATTCCGTCTGGAGTGTTACTTCCATCCAAACCGAACATATTACAAGTAACTAGAACCAGAACTATATTTCATGATATTTTATACCAGTTGAAGGTGTTTTCAGAGATTCTGTGCCATTGTCTATTTGCAAGAAATTATTGTTTTTTACGATTTTGTCAGAAAGTGTAATTTTAAAAAGTAATATTATATTCAAACAAATCTTTTAGTGTATAGTCATGCACCTGTTTTGTGCTTTTGATGTTCTTACACTTGACTTTCATGAAAAATGGTATTTTACCTATGAAGTTATCGAGTTTAAATAAAAATCTAATCAAATTATATTAATGGGTCACTAATATAGACACATGTAGTGGTTATTTCTGAATAGTAGTACAAAGGAGTAATACAACTTTTTAAAATTTGGCTCGGCTATATTGCTCTTAACGGTTCGCTAACATTCGATAGTGGATAGTTTTATTTCATTATTTAGAGAAGTATTATTTCTTTGTTACAAACAGTACCAGTGAATAGTTTCTTCGTTCTCAACAATAGTAGTTTACTAGGAAGGGGTATTTTTATAGAATGATCCTGTTCTCACATGTTCTAATTGGAGAGTACGACTTTCTTGTCGCACCTTGGATAACAACCAACGATTATCAGATCGACGTACTGTGTGGATACATGGTCACTTTACTGAATGAGCCAAGCATATGATGTGTGGATGAATGTAACACGTAGTTCAATATGATAAGTCTGAAATCAGGTGCGATTTCTACAGATAATTGGTTCATTGTCCTTCTATATAACGTCCTTACAACGTTTACTACAACCTCGACCCAAACAGGTCGTTAAAAAAAGGGGAACCGCTCAATCCCATGGATTGCACCAAAGAATCATGGGACACTATTGTTTATGTTGTTTACAATGTTAATCTATCTTTTGTTATCCATTGTTATTTTAATCCAGAAAGCAAATTTGTTGTAAAATTAATCTTAACTGGAAGGTGCCCCTTTAACTACAGTTACCCTCATTGTAGCCATAGTTAGGTCGTTCACCGTCGACGACAAAAAGAATTAATACGTGACATGCCTCATACATTTTGTATGACAATGGCCCCATTATCTGTCTATTTCCAGTATCCTGTATTGATACCAGACAAACAATCATATTTTTGAAAAACAAGAGAACACATCTTTATTGACGTCACTTCCCTTCCATCTTTTGGCGATGACGTAAATGATAGGCGTTAATAATTTAGTTTATTACTGCAATTACATGTACAAACATGATCGAATTATGAAAGCAACGACGCTAAAGAAAATGCACTGTGAATATGATGGTGACAGAGATCAATTCATCACAGTACATACCTATCATGGTGGCTTGTCAAGATGACGACCATAATCCTCATCTTTTTGCAAATTCGAGATCTCGGGAGCAATTATTGTTTAACAATATTTAACATTCGCATCGAGCGTTTAACCATTGTTTAAAGTAAACAAAGCGGTAGTATTGTCTCCATCAAGTAGTAATTAATAACTAGTACGCAAATGTCCATGCGCATTGCATTGATAGTACGTGCTAGTGATATAAAGCGCATGCGCATTGAATTGATAGTACGTACCAGTAACACAAGCGTCTTCTCATTGCAATGCAATCCAGTCTGTGTATTTACATGTTATATCTAAAGAAAACTACTTATGACGTAAGATCTTTAGTGTCCGATTTTTCAAACTATCCAAAGATATAATACAAATCAAACGTTTCACGACTTCTACACTCAAACCCAAGTAGTTTGATATTTATTTTAAAAAGCTATCTTGATAACGCATTAATTTATGAAAGATGAAATAAGAAACGTGTATCTTCTATTTAAATCTACTGTGTTCAGAACGAAATGTACACCTTTCATTCAAACTGAACGCGTCAGAAATCAACGCGGTGAGTTGACGGGATCGTGACTGCCACTGCAGTACGTCACTATTTGTCTGGCGTATCCGGCGTCTAAACGCACATTTCGGTGAGATGCAAAGATCGTCAAGCTACTTTTCAACAGTTTATCGACTCATCAAGGAAATTAACTCTTCTATTTACTGGCATTTTTTTCTTTTTAAACTACAAATTACCGGATATTTGGCATCATCGATACGCCGCATGAAACCTACATATGTGTCCAGAGTATGAACCATAGCTGATTTCGCAAATACTAGTACTCCAATAAATACAGTGTCTTCGATTTACGATCACGTGACCATTGGTTACACGGGAGAAAACTGCGAACTTGTGTTTTGGCGACTTTTATCTCATTACTACAATCTTACTGTCCGTTGAATATTGGAATTTGTAGACGGCTTACAGCATTATATCCGATAATATAGAAAGAACTAGTCGTTAGTCAATTTCGATGCTTTCTGAAGACGAAGGCATCAAAGCCATTTTATCAATTGACTTTTAATAAATCATAAATCTGTATGGGCGATTTCTTCATTAAACAGATCTATCAAAATACTAATGCAAATCAATACTTGACATTATCACTGAGACATGGGTGAATTTATAACGATAACCACCATGGTTAATTGGATCGTATTACGGGGGAGTAAATCCCAACCCTTCGAAATATATCGACACCTGACACTGTGAAGCATATTCAAATAATCACTCAATTAAACACGAATCGAATGGATCGTATCACGCATGCGTAGAAATCTGTTCGACTGACTGTTAGCCTAAACATGTTCCCCACGTTTTAACAACATACATCAATTTGAGGGAGCCTCTTATTTAATTTTTGCAATGCTTGATATGTGTAAATTTGTGTAAATTTCCGGTAAAAACTTAATTGACAAAAAATAAAAATTCAACACTACAGTTATCAGTATATGTAAATGCCGCAGGGAATGATCGCTGTTCCTGAATGGCATATATGCACTATATACTTGCCATCACTGTAGTAATGACAGGGCTATATACAGGTATACGTGTGTACTTTAGAACGCGACAATGAAGCGCATATGATGATATTTACGGCATGCAAAACACGAGCTTTACGTTTGTGATATTCATTCAATTTAATTTTAAACACAGTCTGGTTCAAATTCTAAATCACACAAACGTGCCAGAATTACATCTAAATTGTGACTCGCGTTGACGACTTATTCAGACACTTGTAATTGAAACTTAAAAATCCAATTTCTGAGACCCCCTAATAAAAAAACATGACATACCGTGATATCCACGGGGACAACTACAGTAGAAACCACTGCCCGATAGAGCATGACACCTTCCACCATTCAGACATCGGTTCAGTCTACAAGGGTCGGTCCTACCTGTAAAAAGAATATTATAAACAATGTTGCGTTGAATTACTCGGTAGTTTGCCGGTAGTTTACAGAGCGTATTGCCAATTTTAGAAATGAGATTGTCCATGGATGGTACCGATGTTTAATTAGATTTATATCACACCACCGTCCCCCAACACCGGGACGGTGATCACACCTATGTTCAAAAACAGTAGGATGTCGAACCTCTTACTAGTGTACTACTGTCAGTATTTGATTCGTTTTTTTATATCATAGTAAAAGAATATGTATTTAACATCACAGACATCATCATAGAAATACTGAAAGAGGAACTGTGTATACATTCGTGCTTATATAGAGTGTTACTAACAAAATATTGATAAAGAGTCGATGTTACTTACGTATAAAAAATCCTGTCACCGTTGATGTTGCCAGTATAAGAACACATGTTACACACGCAAGGGACACGGCACTCGTGCGAGTATTCATCACGTATGTGTTGACTGTGCAGTACTGTCGTAAACTGCACTCCAGTGGCACCGGCACCTGGTTTTATACACCCTAGACGGCATTGGAGTCGGAAGAATTTCAAAGGCTACTTTCCACCTACGACAGTCACGTGACACTGGCCAGACAAGCGACTACTGTGCGAGTAAGCTGTTATTTCGCAGGGTATCAAACAAATAACTTCCGTAATTAGTAGAAATAAGACAGACATAGACAGTACACAGTTCAATGGCTTCAGCGACGGGATACGGCAGTAGTTAGGTTACGTGATTTGGCTGTTCCGTTAGCTCCTGGGGCTATGGTGAATAGTTTGTAAATGTATGTAGTTACAAAGCGGTTCTTCAAGCCGACCACCCAATCTACACAATGTAGCACTATTGTGGATCTTTAAATTCGTTATTTTATGCAATATATAGTAAAATTGGTATACTTATATATAAAATTGGTATCGCCATATTATTTTTTTACAGAAAATTGGTCTGACGTAAAATCGATGACGATTTCGCTCTCACGTCATATAACAAGCCAGGATATAACCGCGACACTCTGACGCCGGAAACTGACGAGAAGTAACAATATTTACCCCGGGGGATATCCCACAGAGTTTCGTCGCATAATCAAAGAAAATCCGAAGTTATAATATACTAAATTGGAAATATTCGGAATGTTTTTTATATAGTGTAATGTATGTTGTGCATATTGAAGAAATGAATACCTTCCATGTTGTGCCTTATAAGGCAAGGTCAATGTTATGGGATATTGCAATACATATAATGCATCGTGTATACACGATGAAATGCCGTTACAACAAGTGAGTTCGTTTTCAGTTTTGCGATGATTTTAAAAAAAGTTGCCATTTTATAGATGTGTATGTATTTAGGTAAAATAAATGTGTTTTTCATAGTATGTCGAAATGCTAGAAATCTGAATCGCTTCAATGGATACAAACGCGAACAGAGAACATCGTATCACGTGATGATTTGACACATTCTCCAGTAGAATATTGCAACGATGTTAATTATAGATCAAGGACAGGGAGGGCGACGTTTTCCCGGACAAGTCGACTTTAATGGCTCGGTAAAAAGATTTATTTGTGGAATCATTCTGGAATTTTGACATCATTTATTGAGGAAATGTTAAATACCCATTTGATAATGTATTCGTGTGATGTCGCAACTGAGTGGCCCTGAGTCTAAGTTAGTGATGTTTGATGTTTCATAGACCGTGGGTACTATGGATTTGGTTTTTTGACTGATATTTTCTTTGACTGCATCTGTAAATTCTGGTTTTTGCTCAAGTGTTGACATTTGTTTTGCCCTTGCGATGGAATTTTTGAAAATTTACGACCAACTATGGATAGAGTGTGTTCTTGTTGCGGCGTAAGCGTCATAGTTCAGACCATACACGACAGATTGAAGTTAATAGACGGCTAGATTTAGAGCGATTTGTATTCAACATTTGCATACACTATCATACACGCAGAAATTAATGGCATTCGTTTATGAAAAAAAATAAATGTTTGTTGAATCAGAAAAAAACATAAAATAACTAACAGCAAAAGACAAACTGAAGCATAATAAGAAAGACGTCATTAAGTTGCCAGAATGGTTTAACTTCTTTTCTAAAACATATCTGGATGATAATGCTGGTGCCAACATCCCAGATCAAGGAAACTTCATTAGAGTGAGAGATTTTAAGAAGAATATGAGAAAAGAAATATACGATGCTGTCTATAATTTTGACATTGAAATTGATATACTTGACCGTGAGATTACCCTAACCGAACTTGAAAACTGAAAACAGCTCCTGGCATTGATGGCATTTCAACTACAAAATTAAAAAAAAACAAAAGGAAAAAACATTTCGTTAGTACTGAAAAGTTGTCTTTTCACACTTTACAAATTGTTTTACCTGGCGTTTATTCTTCTAAAATGAGTAAAAGGGATCATTCGATGGCGTTAATAACTGACTGACTCTATTTCCCAGTGTGGTCAACACGTCACGGTTCAGTGACGTATATCAGAGATTGAATATTGGGTCTAATTATACACTAGAACTCCACTAGTGAAAAAAGCATTTGGGTTTCTGAAAGAGGTATTCCACTATTGACAATATATTCATTTTACAATCATGGCTTATCATTTGTTTACAATTATTTCTGGATTTCTGTATTTTTGTAGATTTTCCAAAAGTCTTTGATATGATTAATTATATCTGACTATAATTGGTTATTGTATTCCATTGTTTACCATTTTATGTTACTGATTGTTTTCACTGTGCACTTGGGGTACAGCAGGGGAGTGTGCTATTTTTTTTTATTTATAAACGACCTTGACAAATCAGTGAAGCAGGAAATGGCTGGTGTCCATATATCTTCATTGCAATTACTAGTATTTTAGTTACTATTTGCCGGTAGCCTGGTCCTATTTAGGCGTTTACCAAACAGACTTCAACGTTCATTTAACAATCTCTCTTCTGATACTCATCAAATGGAATTTAAAAATTGACATTTTTAAAACCAGAGTAACGGCTTTTCACAAAGATGGTGGATTTGATAAATATGAAAATGAGTAATTTCACGGTAAAGTTGTAACTCGTTACAATTATCTTTGAACAGATTTTGCTAGCTTTTATAAATGGTACCAAACTGGACGGCTAAAGGCAATAAACCACTATTTCTAGTAATTTAAAAGCGAAGTAATTTCACGAGTTAGTAATATAGCACGGAAACGAAGTAGGAGGATTTCATTTTGTCTGAATTGAACAATTCAAAATAAATGCAAATCCCTGATTTGCGTTGAAAACACGTTTCTGTAAAAGGTACGTATTGTGAAATATTGGTTACACTTCATTGCTATCCTCGGGAGCGGAGCTACGTCACGGACGTTCTACGTTGCTAAGACGCGCACCACTATACCACGTATTTCTATGGACTTTGTGCGCGCTGCTGTGGAACGCCGGTGGAGCCGGTGAAAACTCGAGAAAACAACACAAACTCAACTTTGAAGTAATCCTGAACAACCAAATTCATATATGTTACACACGTAGGGCTCATCTTATTACACTGTTCAGGGGACTCTCAACAACCATCGCAAAGTTCCGTTTTCTGCGGGTTTTGGGTCTTTGTTTTCACCGCGAGGGTTGCCAGGCGGTAGAAAATGCCCGGATGTCCGCCCCCGAGGATACACGTACCTTTATGTCCTCTTACCTCTGCGAGAAAGATGAGGCTGACAAAAAAGCAGGCTATGCTGGGCTTGCAAACGCAAAACAATTGTTATGTTCAAGACATGGAAAAAACAGGGGCAGGCAATATTCAAGCATTTTATAGAATTCTGTCGTTATGTAAACTTCAAATTTCATCTAATAATTTACGTATCGAAGCAGACAGACATATCAACAATAATCGTATATCCGAGGTAGTATTTTATGTGATTTACCATATTTTTATCAGACGCTGAAACAATCGTATACTCTAATCTCTTTAATCGTGTTTCCAACATTTGACAAACCTTTCTGAATTTATTTATCATCTTACGCTTAAACATCCTGCTATAACGTAGAAAATGTGACGATACTTTTCATATATATATAACACTATAGTAACAATACTGGACTTGTAATCTTATAGGCCGGAAGACTTTGTATATATGCTAAAAATAGAAACAGACTGCTCTGTTCGGAAGAGATCACATTTTACTAACTATCTGTCAACGCGAAGGTGACGTGATGACGTCACACAAAATGATTTTGCATGACGTCACGAATAATCTCCAACAACTCTTTAAATTTAACCATGATAATGAATTTTCATTATACTCGTAATTTTGCTCTGATTTCACACCACATCAAAGTCCTATATTTGTATTTCGCCCTTCTTGAAGCAATTCTCTGTGACAAAATCTGATTATTAAGAACCAAGTTCAATAGTGAATAATTTCAAAATCTGTATTTCTGTATACGCTCTATTACACGTGACTGTGGTGCATTATGGGTAAGTTTGGGTACTTATAGGGAACGGTTATTTTGTGAGGGCACCATCACCGTGAAATTATCCTTATCAGTGTTACTATCTAGGTTTCTATCATATGTATTAGGGACCAATCAGTTTTTATGGCCGGGCCGAAAATTTTTTGTAAATGTAGGAACAAAATCAATACCCCCTCCTGTATCCACTATGAAAATTATGGTGCCCCCCTGGACAAAGACTAAAAATAATGTGGACCCCCATTTTCAATTCTTTATAAAAACATTTTTATAGTTAATTATTTAGTTTAGTTATAGTTAGTTGGTGTAGATTGTCTGCATACTATAGTCATTGAGTGAAAAATAAATGTTTCTACAAATCAGCGAAACAGTGCATGTCTCCAAGTGCCTGCTTGTATCCCAGATCTTGTTGTCACTGTATACTGCACTTCACTGTGATCCTCCTCTTCACTGACCAGAAAGAAAGTTGTAAACATTTGTGAGGAACTCAAACTTCATGCTGTATACAGGAGGAGGAGGAGGAGGAGGAGAGGAAAAAGAAGAGGGGGAGGAGGATGGAGAAGTAGAAGAGCAAAGTGAGGAGGAAGACTTTATCTGATTGGTCACCCAACCCCAAATATTCAGACCAATCAGAGAGCAGCTTGTTTGAACTTTTTTTTTTCAACATAACAAATTCTGCCCTGTACACATGTGTAGCATTAAAAAAATACTATTGCGATTGAAAATACATAAATAAAAAAAACAATATTCCATTTTCTGCATAGTTTAATAATAAATTCCCAATATTATACAGAATTCAAGCTATCTCTAAATATCTCATAATACAATATCTTTGATATGAAAGATTATCCCTTTCATTCATTATAGTTATTAAATTAAGCATTCTATGAATCAATAACATACAAAATAGTTACAATATATCAATTGTATGCACACATCCAATTTGTCAATACTCAGGAAAGGGAGGAAAAAAATACATGTATTAATTTATTTGTTAATCTATTGGTTCTT